TAAACCACACAAAAATGCATTCAGACAACAAAATGAGAAAGAGAGGAAGTGAAGGAGGTCAGGGGGTAGGGGTGGAGAAGGAGTGGGGAAGGTGGAAAGGAGGGAAGAATGAACCAGAAAAGTTGTCAGGGAAAGTCAAGAAAACCAAACGACAAACCAGGAAACACAGCTTTGTAGCTCATTTGGAGAAAATGCAAGTTACAAATGAGTAGTCACTAAAATAAAGAAAGAAAAGGGAGGGGGAGAAAACCAACCAGAGCAAGATTGAAAGAGAGAGAGAAAGAGAGAGAGAGAGAGAGAAAACCACATTCAAACCAAGCAGAGTGGCCGGGCTTATCTGAAGATGGGAGCGAGCGAGCGCACAGCTGAGCCGGGTACCTACCTTCTCAGCGGTCAGGGACAGGAATGCAATAATAAAAAAGAAAAGAAGGTCTCCGCATTGGGAATGCAGAATCGGGGAAAGACAGTGACTCTAAGCTGCGCACCCCCTCTGAATTGGCACGAGGGCAGCCAGTGTGGCTTTGGGTCTAGTCCCAGGGATGGGAGGGGGCTCCTGCGCAGCCATTTCGGTTTGCTTTTTAAATTTACCCACAGGCTCCAGTAGCCAAGCTTTCCTTAACTCTTTAAAACACAGAAAACCTCCGGAAGGCATGCAGGAAGCAGCTGATGGAAGCAGAACCACAGGGTGGGCTAAGGAGGGGCTGGCAGCATGGGGAGAGGGGTCCATGTCAGAAGAGGGAGACGGAGAGAGAAAGAGACGACACATGGAGAAACAGAGAGAGAGAGAAATAGACAGGGAGAGAGAAACAGAAAGACAGAAGGGAACGGAGAGAGACAGGCAGGGACAGAGAGAAAGGTGGACCCAGACAGAAAGAAGAGAGAAAGCTGTTTAAACAAGGCCAGTCAGAGTGGACGGGGGCAAGGGGGACCCACGCATTTAAAAGGGAAGGCAACCGCGGATTCAATTTGTTGGATTGATCCTGCCTCATTCAACCCCACTCCCTTTCCTTCCGGCTTTGGCATCATTTTAGCAACATTCATCCCTCCTGCCTTCTGGCTTCATCCTGGGAGAAATACCGAGTGGTCCCTTCCTGTCTGCCTGCCTCACTCTCCTTCCTGGGGGTGGGAGCTCTTTCCCCGGGGGAGGCCTGGGATGAGGCAGGTCAGGGAGTGCGTTGGGCACCTCTTCTTGGGGTTCCCCAAGGCTGCCCATCTCGTGATGAGATTTGAGCCAGAGCCGGAGAGAGTCCAGGGGCCTTGCCCACGGACCTTCTCTGCCACCCTCACCAAACAGTCGGGCTTCCCTTGACACTTCCAGTGCTAGCAACAGGTGGAGCCAAGGAGTAAGTGGCCTTACTTCTGAGCCTACAAACCCTGCACACCCTTTCTGGCCCACGTGCTGGGGAGAGCAAGGCTAGCACCATTCTGTGCTCCTGGGGGCGGAAGGGAGCAGGCGAACAGGGATGGAAGGCCATTTCCCTTGAGGTCTCAGGCTCAGTATCTTACGCTTCCATCCCACCTCATGTGACCTTGAGCAGCTCCCTTCCCTCTGTGTGCCTCACCATTCATTTCCCCACAAGTGTGAGGGCTTAGGGCTCCCTGAGCCGCTGAAGCAGCCATCATATAGAGTCGGCTTGTGTAATGTGTGCCCACCTCAACCCTGGTCTCCGCGTAGGCAGGTCCCAGCGCTGGGGAGCTCAGAGAGCTGAGGGCATGCTGTAGACATCTGGAGGGCTCCCCAGGGGGAAGGCAGGAGCGGAGACAACTAGCATCTACCTCCCAAGTCCTCCTCCCCCGTTCAGGGCTCCTGGGGTGGGCTTTCCATTGACCGCCCTCTCCACATCTGGGCTGTGGCTGGGGGTCTTAGGGTTAGAAGGCTGGGGTCTCCCTTTGGATCCACCTCTAAAAAGCTGTGTTACTTTGAGCTGGTCATCTGACCTCTCTGAGCTGCCCAGAAATCCCTTGGGGGTTCAGTCCTGGCCTGAGATGGAACAACTAAGAGATGTGTCAGGAGCCAGCTGGCCTCAGTATCAAGACCAGGATGGACTTGCCTCTTGCCTCCAGTCCCTTGCCTCAGAGTGTCTGGCTTTGAAGCCCTGACCTGAGTTAAACTCTCTCAAGTGTCTTCAGTTCCCTCCTCCAGGGCCCCCTAAGGATCTGAGGCCTGGCAACGGAAGGTGCTGAGCAGCTTGTTCCCATCATGCCATCTTCTATTAGACAGAACTGAGGAGACACAGGAAGCTCATTGCTCCAGGAAGCTGCCCAAGTGACCTGGGACAAGGTCCTCCCCCTCCCTGGGTCTCCCAGCCTCTCTCCAAGGTTCCTTAAAGACTGAGCCTGTGGTCTGCACCCCTTTTGTTAATTTAAAAGCTGCAGCAGCTCCGAGTGTGTGTCCGGGCTGAGGGAGGGCTGGCTGTGGCCGCAGAGCTGGCAGACGCTGTTGGCGTGGGAGGCATTTTTTAGGAGTTACCTTCCCTTTTAAATTCTGATTACAAAGGAAAAAAAATAAGTATAGATAGATATGTATATGCTTAATGTTCACTGGAGATTCAAAACCATCTGCCTTAGGAGGAGAGGTTCCCACAGGAACACGCACAAAAGCAAAATTCTAGGACAACACAGAAGAGAGAAAAAACCCCAGAGAGAGAGTTTGCATTTCTGTACATTACAAAAGGCAAAAAGAAAAAAGAAAGGAAAAGGAAATACAAACAGAAACAAAATAACAAGAAAAGTTATATAAACTTTCCCACCCTCTCCCCTTGCCGCTAAATGAGAAATGGAATCACAATATTACCACGTTTCAAATGGGAGGCTAAAAAAACAAACAAAAACATAGACGGGGTTAAAAACGGTGAGCTTTGCCTTTGTTCCGTTTGTTTCTCTCTCTGTTTTTTAAAGGTAGCGTCCAAGAATCCCCCTCCCGCCCCTGTATACTTTTTCCCAAAGACGTTTTTGGTGAATGGCAAAGCCTGTGACCCTGGCCCCCATCACCTCCCTGGAGGCGGAGGCGAGCCAGAAGTAGCCTCATTCCGCTCCTCAGAAAGGCCTGGCAGGCAGAGGGGAGCCGGGTGTGGGTGAGCAGCCTGGGATGTTCTCAAGACCCAGAGTCCCAGGGCCCAAAGGGTAGGGGAGGATCCGGGGACCACGCTTTGTGAAAGGAGTGACAAAGTGCTGTCTCCTAGAAAACTCCCAGGGCTGTGCCCAAAGGAGCCCCATTTTGGAGGGAAACAGACTGGGGTGCTGCCCCGAGGCTGGAGGCTGGGCTGCCTCCCCTGACTGCTCTCTCCTGGGGTCTATCTAGTTGCTGTGCCCATTTTTTCTACATATATGCCCAGGGCCCTTGGGGGGTATTGCTCTGGCCTTGAGGGCGGGGGAGGGATCCACAAGTGGGAAGGGGTCTCCTTTCTGTCCTGGCTGAGAGAACCTGCGTTTCTGTGTCTCTCGGAAGCTGTGAAGCTTCTATGAGAAGGGGTCTGGGGCACTGTGCCCATGGAGGGGCTGGTGGCGATGCTCCTTTCTGGGTTTGCTCAGGTTGGGCATCATCTCTGGGGCTGATGGCACCAGTCCCTGTCCTGGGCACCCTCAGCTACCGCTGTGAGACTTCTCTCACCCCTGAGACAGATCCAGGGACCTGGTGTGATCTCCACATGGCCCAACCAGGCCCCTGGGAGCTCGGGAGCCTGGAGCTCAGGAGCCTGGCACCCTGTCTGGGTGGGGCAGTCTCTCCAGACAGGTAATGTCCTTAAATAAAAATTAACCTGGAGACCAAGAGGCTTTTGTCAGCTGCCTCTGGCTTTCCTCACTGAGGCGGTGGGAGTAGGGGTGTTTGAGAAAAGAAAGGGAGTGAAAGGAAACAGCCAAAACTCAAAATGGAACTGACCAACACGAACACGTCTGCTGCTGAGACCTGAGGTCTGGGGAGGGGCAGCCCCCTTCCTTCTGAGGCTTCTGGGGCAGCCTGCAGATCTGCACCCCAAGTCCCCTGTGCCCACCTAGTGCCCCTGCCAGTACTGCAGCCCCCTCTCCCTCCGGGGGCTCTACCCTGCCCTCTAGATCAACAGACAAAAGGGGATGTGGGCTTCCCCTGGGGCCTGGGAGAGCCCCCTCCCTGGCCCAGCCCATCCACCAGGGAAAGGCTGAGAAGCCTGTGTGCTCTGCCAGCTCCTACCATCACCACACACGCCTGTGGGTCTCAAGGAGTCTGTGCCCCTCCTGGAGGATGGGCGGGGACAGTTTTGGGATGGTGTGGGTGTGGAGTCTCTGAGGGAACGATGGTGCCCTGGGAGGTGCTTTAGGAAGGATGGGCCGTAGGAAGCGGAACCTGCAGGTCTGAGACACCTGTCCGAGCATGGGCAGTGCCTAGGAAACGACAGACTCTCCTGGGGGCAGGGACTTTAGAAATGCAGCTCTGTGGCTGCGAGGGGACTGAGGCGGGTGAGGGATCTGAGAGAGGGGGAGGAGGCTAAGGAAGAGGTTGAGGGAGGCAGGGCACTCAGAGAGGGGGAAAGGGCTTGGTGGGGAGAGGGAGGCTCAGGACCCAAGTGATGCCCAGGGGAGAGCCCGTCTCTTGAATCCTGTTCCTGACTGTAACCCAACCAATGTCCAGGCCCCCTCCCACCCCAATATGCCTGGGGGGAGGGAGGCAGGAGACCTTGGTTCCTCTCCAGTTCTTTACCAAACTGGCTGAGTGCCCCATGGGCAACCTTCTCTGGCCTTCAGTTTGCCAACATCAAGGGTGGCCCAAGCCTGCAGGCCCCCCACCCCCACCCCCGGCACCCTGACACTAAGGGCCAGGTGGGCGCAACACCCGAGCACTCCTGGGCCCTCTCCGTGCAGGGAGGGCGCATGAAGTGGGGGAAGCGGCCCCGCCCCCGTTACACACTCACTGCCCTCTTCTTGCCCCCTGCCGAGAGGCGACCCTGCCCCGACCCGGCACGGCTGACCCAGCCCGGCGCAGCCCGCGCGGCGCGGGAACCCTCTGCAAAGCGAAGCGTACGTACATGGGGCGGGCTGTGCGCCGAGCCGGGGCGGCCGCCGTGCGCTCCGCTCCGCTGCCTGCCGCCGCCGTTCTGCTGGGGCGACCCCCATCCGCTGCCGCCCGACGGGGAAGGCGACCGGCTCCCACTGGACCGCTGGCTGCCCGTCTTCCGCCCGTCGTCTCGGTGCTTGGGGCTCAGCCTGGGAGGCAGAGGACAGAGGGAAGCCGGCGTGGGACGCCCCCTCTACAAGCAGCCGCCGCCCGGCGGGAACGGCAGCGCCCCACTCACCCCCTCACTGGGCTGGGAAACCCTTCCACAGAGAGAGCGAGGCGCAGCCCTCACACGGCGGATTTCCGCTTCAGCGTCTGGGGGTGGGGGGGCCTTCGGGCAGGGCCGCAGCTCTTCCTCGCCCAGTTCCAGGTGGGCACCAGCACACCCCTGGTAAACTTCTACCCGCTGATGAATTGCTATTCTGTCCACCAGCCCGTCTCCAGCCCTTGGGGGTGTTCAATCTGCAAGTCCCTTCCCCCAGCAGAAAGCCCAGCTCAGCCACATCTTGAGCGTTCCTGCCGCCCAGGGCCTACCTGCTGGGTGATCTGGAATCACTGTAGTGGGAGGAGAGTGAGGGGCTGTGGGAGCTGCCGCTGCTGTGGCGATGGGACCTGCGGCCTGGCGACTCCGCGTGTGGCCTGGGAGAGAAATCAGCCAGTACCTAAGTTCTGCCCACCTCCCCGCGGGGGATCCCTGTGAAGGCCTGAAGGAAACCACTGCTGACCAACCCCTCCCTCCACAGTCTCCTACAGAAGGGGCCCAGCTAGTCCACCTGGGTCATTTGTTGGAATTAGGAAAAGGCGCCCTTTTCTCTAGGCAGCCCCAGGCCCCCACGACCTCACTGCCCCTCAGCCGGTGCTCTTGTGACTGGAGTGGGGGGAGGGACATGGAGGGAGTCACAAGGACTGAGCTTGAAAGGCCCCTGGCCTGGGAGGTGAGAGACCTGGTTCCAGCTCTAGCTCTGCCACTGCCTCACGGGGCCCTTGGCTTCCTCTCTGGGTATGAATTTTCCCATCTGGGTGGGAGTGACAAAATGAACTATCTCTAAGGGCCTGATTCTGGGATTCTAGAAGGCCAGATTTGCTGGGGGGAGGGGAGGGGGAAGAGGCTAGAGAGTGGGGAAGGGAGCTCACCTCTTCCTCTCTTTGTTCTTCTCTTTTCTTTTGCTCTTAGGGCTTCGAGATCTGCAGAAAGCAGAGGCTACGGTGACACAGCGTGTGACAGCATGGCCTGAGCCAGGGAGGGGCAGGGTGGGGCCTCCCAGCCCTGGAGCCAGGCTGTGCCCAGGTATGGATCTGAGATTCTTTCCTCTCTGGGACCTGAGCCCCCTGCTGGAGTCGACTTGCCCACGCCACCCCACTGCCTTGGTCCTTTTCACTTGGCCACGCCTGTTCCTTCCTTCTCCTAAAGTCCTGGCTCCTAGTCACCTCCTGCCTGGGCCCCACCTGCTGCTCCCTCTGGCAGTGCCAAAGGTAATGTGGCCACGGCCCCAGAAGGAAGGGTGCCTTGCTTGTCCTTCTGGAATTGGTCTTGGGACGGGGCCCTCTGATGAGTCACCACGGTGGGAGTGGCCCCTTCACACCTCCTTTGTGTCCTGTGTGCTCCAGGTCCCCTCAGATGGGGCTCTGGCAGAGTGCAGGCTTCCTGCTTCTCTGTCCTCTGAGACTGTGGCCTGCCCCGGGTCAGCTCACCAGGGCTTTAGGAAAGAAATGCTTCCCCTTGGGCACGATCGCTTTGCTTTTGGGTTTACTCCTCTGACTCCCATCCAGGGCTGCCCCAAAGCTGCTCATCCATCCCATCGCATCCCCTCCCATCCAGGTCTCCGGAGTAGGCCCATAGCCCAGCTCCTTCTGCCTCTGACAAAAGAATCGAGAAGTTTCTCATTAAGCCTCGAAGGTCTCACCTCACCCCTGGGCCCTGCAGGGTTCTCAGCCCCACCCTCCCCGATGCCACCAGATTCCAGCTCTAGCATTCTAGGCCTGGACAGATGCCTCCTCTGACCAAATATGAGCTGATGCTAAGAAACAAAGGAATGTATTTTCCTTCTTTTCCTTTTTTTGAGGAGGATTAGCTCTGAGCTAACATCTGCCAATCCTCTTTTTGCTGAGGAAGACTGACCCTGAGCTAACATCCATGCCCATCTTCTTCTACTTTATATGTGGGATGCCTGCCACAGCACGGCTTGATAAGCAGTGTGTGGGTCTGCACCGGGGATCTGAACCAGTAAACCCCCGGCCGCTGAAGTGGAACATGTGAACTTAACTGCTGTGCCACTGGGCCGGCCCCACAGGAATGCATGTCTCACAGGAGCAGAATGGGTGGGGGGCAGGCCGGGAGGTCAAAAGTTTGGGCTCTGGAACCCATGCTGCCTGCTTTGGGCCTCAGTCTCCCGTCGGGGAGCTGGTCTGGCCCTGGCTCACCTCTAGGTCCTTCCCAGGACTGAGGGTCGTTGGTCAGAGGATCTGTGCAAGCTGATGGTGACCACTGGGGGGCAGTAGGGGCCCACACTGGCCCATGAGAACCGGGTGGGGCGGTGGGTGAGGGGTGGGAGGTGGAGAGGAGATGGGAAATTGGGGAAATTGGAGGGCCAGGATTTAGGAGTTTATTTAGGCTCCTCCTTCCCCACTTGGGAAGTGGACATGGGCAAATTCCCACTGCAGGAATGGGACTGAGGACTCTGCCCCTCCTCAGGGCTGCTGAGAGGGGTTCTGGTTACCATGCCAACAGTGGGGATGCAACTGTCCCCCATCTTCCTTCCCTCTATGCTTAGTTTTCTACTTTCCCCACCCCTGCCCCTGAGTTCCTGCCTTTCTCCTCCTCCTCTCCCCTCCCTCACTCCATCCTGAACAAGTTACTGTCCTGCTCAGGGCCCCAGGCTGGCTCCCAGCCTCGCTTGGTTGGGGGCCAGCTCTGTAGCCTGGTAGTTGGTCCTCCTGGGGGCTGGCACCTGCCCCCAGAAACCCCACCTCCAGCCACAGCCAGCCCACCCTGTCTCCTACCCACTGAGCCTTTCTTCTGTCTGGCACGCCCTTTCCCTCCGAATTCGAGGTCCTGATGCTTCTGTCTTTCCCACTGACATGTCCACAGACATACCCCTTGGACACCAGAACTACCATGTTTGGAAATTCTTGGGGCCCTCACATCAAGGCTGACTCATGAGGCAGACAAGAATTGCCAATAATTGGCCTTGCTCCTCCTCCCCCCTCTCTCTGTGCCCTGCCTGGCTCTGGGAAGGAGTCCCTGGAGTGGGAGGATGGAGCAGGGCAGGACCCTCACAAACCCCCTCCCATCATGGCTTCTTTTGGGCCTTGGTCCCTGCAGGGGGCGCTAGCTTCTGTCCACATCTCGCAGGGCACCACTCACCTGTGCCGTCTCTTCCTCCGGGACCCAGAATCAGACCTGTAGGGTCATAAAAGGGTTCTCTTGAGCCCACCTGGGGTGGCCTGGGGGCACGGATGTGCAGAGCCCTGGTCCAGGGCCCCACAGGGGTGAGACGAAGCCCCGGGGGGGGGGGGGGGGGGGGGGGAGGGTACCTGTCTCTGCGGTGCTTCCTCACGCTTTTCTTCTTCTTGCGCAGAGGTGAGGCGCTCCCACAGCTGCGGACACAGAAGCGGGGCTCTAGTGATCTGGGGCCCCCGAGAGGGAGGGGCAGCGGGAAATGGCTGGGGAAGCCTGCGTGCCTGGGGCATCGAAGCTGGAAAGGGGATTCCAGGCCATGAAGCCAACTGCCCGTGGTACAGAGGGAACCAAGGCCCCAGGGATGGGCAAGGTGCCTAAGGGGATCTTTCAGACGCCTTGGCATTTAAGCAAAGACTGTTTCAAACCCAAAAGTTAGAGGCTCCAAGGGTGGGATTTCTGGCCTCTGTGGGGAAAAGCTGGCACGTTAGCGGTGTCCAGGGTCCAGACCTTGAGGTGGCAGGCCTCCTGCCCTCTGGGGGATGGCCTTGGAGTCTCTCCCACCCGCAGATGTGCCCCCAGCCCCACCAGGTCCCTGCCCGCCTTCATCACTGACCTGCACTCTGAGTCTAGTCTCCTCTTTTTGCTGAGGGCCAGGGGAGAAAGGACAGACAGATAGTTGGACGGGGTTAGTTGGGGCCCCAGACATTCACCAGGGTCTCACTCAGGGAAGGGGAAGAGGGGCGGAAAGATGGAGAACCACAGCTGAGACCCAGCCAAACCCCTCCTCCCCAGGCCACTCCCACTCGAGGTGGTGGGTGCCCCACAGCTGGTGGGGTGGTGCAGGGGGACTCCTAGCAGGTGGGGTAACACAGGGGCCACATCAGTGTGTCCAGTTCTGGGGCGGATGAGTGTCAATGGGGGGCCTCAATGTGGGGAGGGGGCTTGAGGAAGGGGAGGGGCTGAGTGAGGGGGGAGGAGCGAGGTTGAGTTCTTTTAGGGGAAGGGCACTTCGCGGGGGGCAGCACAGTGAGGGGGACGGATTCAATAAGGGCAGAGCGGCTCAGCGAGGGGCGGAGCCCACGAATGCCAGAAGAGGGGTGGGCACCTGGGGGCCCCACCGCGCCCCTCCCGCGGCCTCCCGCCGGGTAGGAGGCGCTCACCGGCTTCTCCGGTGGCCGCCTTTCTTTTTCTTCTTCTTCTTTGGAGGCGGCGACACCGAGCTGCTGGACCAGTGCTTGGTCCTGGGTGAGAAGCGCGGGGAGCGGCGGTGAAGTGGGAGGGGCGGCACTGTCCCCAAGGCCCCCCCCCCAACCGCGGGGGGCGCTGACCTGTACCCCCGGTGCCCGCGGTAGCAGGCGGCCGGGCAGTCGCAGTCCACCGGGCCGTCGTCCTCGTCCAAGGGGGCGTACTCCAGGCCCGGCTCGGCGCCCTCGGTCAGCCGCGGGGTCTCCACCACGCTGCCGGCGACAGGACGGCTCACCACCTGTCCCGGCGGCCCGCCCTCCCCGCCGCCCTTTCCCAGCGCGGCGCCCACAGGTCGAGCGGGGCGGGGAGGGGCTGGCGGCGGCGGGGTCTACGCCGCGACCCCTCCAGGCTCAGGCGGGGATTTGGGGAACCCAATGGGGAGCCTCTCTTCCAGGCCCCCCAGACTCAACGGCGCCGTATTTTACAAAAGAGAAAAAAGAGCGCCGGCCCTCGCTCCTCACTTGGCCCTCACCCCTTCTAAGTTCTCACCCTTCCAGGGAGCCTCCTCCTCCTTAGCGAGGCCCCTCCCTTCACTGAGTCCCCTCCCGGCACTGATTCTTTGTCCCTTCGTCCCAGTCATTGCGCTCCACTCCCCCTCCCCAGCTCCCTTGCCCTCACTGAGCCCCCCTCTCTGAAAGGTGTCTTTCCTTAACCCAGCTGTCCTAGTCCCTGAGCCCCCTGCCCCAGGACATCTCTGAAATATTCATAGCCTTCCTCCTCTCCTCCTTGCAGCCTCCAGAGCTGCTCCTGTCCCGCGGCCCCGCTGTCATGGCCCCGCTGTCATCAATCACTGCCGGGTGGCGGTGTCTCGGGCCTCAGCCCTCTGCCGCCTCCGCTGCGCCCCATCCATCTTGCAGAGCTCTTCCCCTGGCTCAGCAGGGACCGCCACGTCCTGTCCCCACATCCGGCTGGCTCAGGAGCCCCCAGCCATCTCTGCCACAGATGTTTGCTCCCTGCTGGCACTTTGCGGAGTGGTGCTTGTTTCCTAAAAGTGCCTGGGCTTCAGGCAGGAGCTTGAGTTTGAAGCTGCACGTGTGCCCTCATCATGCACTGTCCCTGAGTCACTGTGTGACCTGCTGCCTGCCATGCCACTCTCTGAGCCTCTTCTCCGAGATGAGAGTGAGGACTGTGTTATAGGGCTGGGGGAGAATTCGCTGAGGTAACAGCGCTGTGCAATTTCTTTTTTTTATTGCACAAGCCCAGAAGTGACCCGCAAAGGCCTAGCTCCAGGGTAACGGCTCCAGGGTGGTGCCCCCCACCCCCATCTTCCATTTTTCATTCCATCTGGCTCAGACGGTGCCCCTCCCAGATGGAGCCTCAGCCCTGGTTTCAGCAGAACTGCCCTCACTGCTGGGTGCTGTTCACCTGGCTGGCGCTTTCCCGGCCCAGAGCCAGGGAGGCCGGGGCGTGGGCGGCGGAGCAGTAAGGATGGGACATGAGCTTTGCAGTCACACAGACAGGTCTGAGTCCAGGCATGACCATGCTCCCTGAGCCTCGAGGTCCTTATCTACCCACGGAGGAAAAGAATATCCTAGCTTTGAGGCCAGGATTAAGGAAGCGTCTGTCTATGAAGCTCCTGACAGGAGGCCTGGCCTGTGACTGTTGTCCCACACATGGTTGCCATCCTTAGACAGAGGGACCTCTGTCAGACTCTCACACACCAACACCTTCTCTTCCTGGGAGAAAGGCGGTTGTGACCCATGAAAGGGAGACGGAGCAAGAAAGGCAGACCACAGCTACAAGGTGACAGTTGTCAGGGACAAATTTCCAGCAGAGACCCACTAATCGGCTCTTTGAAGACTGATTTTGTATTTAAAACAAAAGAGAATGTCCCCCGAATCTGACATGACTGGCCAGCCTTGAGGCCAATCTCAAGAACGCCATTCAATTCTCAGATGCCAGCCTGGCCCTGGCAGCTGGAAGTCGCACAGGTGGCAGGAAGGTTTTTCTGGTGTGATGGAGGCGAGGCTCCTGTCATTCTCCTTGCCCCCAAAGAGCCAAACTCCCCCACATCCCTTCCTTCAAATCTCTCTGCTCTTCCCCACGCTCCTCTTCCTGGAGCCTCCTGCCTCCTGTCTCTGAAATCTCCAACTCCCGGGCCTGTCCAGCCCCCCACCCTCCCCGGGCCGTCACCCCCCACACAGCCCTCAGCCACACAAATGCCTGACACATAAAACACAGTCTTTAGCAAAACTTAAGGGTCCCTCCAACATTGTGTGGGAGAGCCAGTGGGTGGAAGGAGCTTCCGTTTATCCTGACACAGAAATGATGGAGGTTATTTACAACATAAAATAGCTTTGTTTGGGCTCCGCCTTCTGCAGGAATCCTTTCTTGCCTCCTAACGACAGAGCTCCCCCTCTGCCCCACCCTCCCTCACTGAGCATCTGGCCTCTGTCACTGTCCAGTCCCTTCTGGGAGGTTTACTTGGGATCTTGTCTGCGGGGAGCATTGAAAGACAGGCATGGGCCAGAACCCTGGGTTCTCCTATCCTGCCCTTCCTGGCTGGTAAGACCACTAACACTAAGGTCCTCTAATGTCTAAATACTCTCCACAGCCCATTCAGAGTCACTTCCTGACTTAGAGAAATTGCACCCCCCCCCCATTTTACAGATGAGGAAACTGAGGCCCAGAGAGGGAAAAGAACATCCCGTATGGTTTTAGGACCTTTGAGTAAAAGATGTAAGTTCAGCAATGCGGTTGGCCTTGAAAATTCCTCTGCAAACAGGCCAGCCCTTGAATCAGCTGGGCTTCCCCGCTGTGGGTGTTAGCTCGGCCACCCCTCCCTGCTTTGTAGACAAGGTGAGGCTGTGTGCACTGAAGACTAGGTTTGTTCAATGTCTCCTGCTCTTAAGTTCATATCTGTGATGTAGTTTACTCCTCGTCACGTCTGTGGAATAGGCAGGGGAGGCACGACTCCTCTGTGACAGAAGAAACTGAGCCACACAGAGCTGACCAAGGCAGGCCCCAACAGAGTGCACTACAGAGGGACCAAGAACGTCTGGGACACGTGTTGGAGCGGCCACCATGGGCAGAACTCCGACCTGGGTAAAGACCGCCCATCACGTGCTCTTCTTCATGCCCGTGGCTTTGCTAATTAACGGGCTCTGTTTCCCATTAGCCAGGAGCCTAATGGCCAATTGACAGATGAATGAGTCCAGACAGAGGAAGGGCAGGACGCCAGGGACAGGGCTGCCCTCTCTGCTCATCACTCAGCCCTCATGCCAGACCTACCAAGGGCCGGCTGGGGTGGGGGTGGGGTGGTGGCAGGAACAGGGATGCGTCAGGCCTGGGGCCTCTGTCCTAGCTCCTCATGGTGCAGGGTAAAAATATGGCACAGTATGTATGATAATAATAACTAACGCAGGTCTGGGCACTTTCTAAGCACTTTATGTATATTTATCTCATTTAATCGTTTAATGCTCAGAACAAGCCTCTGACATGGGTACTATCATTAATAGTCCCATCTTATACGTAAAATAATGAGGCATAGAGAGGTCACACTAAGGATAAAATTAGATGCATAGAAAAAAAAGACTGGAATTTGCTCACTGTGTTAGGAAGTAACTTATGAATATTGTTTTCCATGAACCCTCTCTCCCAAACATTGTGTTATATTATGTAACTATGAAAATAATCATTCTTAAAAGTTGTCTGTTAAAGTGGAAAAAAAAAAAGAGAGAACATGGGGCTGGCCCTGTGGCCAAGTGGTTAAGTTCCTGCACTCTGCTGTGGCAGCCCAGGGTTTCGCCGGTTCGGATCCTGGGCACGGACATGGCACCGCTCATCAAGCCATGCTGAGGCGGCATCCCACATGCCACAACTAGAAGGACCCACAACTAAAAATATACAACCATGTACCGGGGGGCTTTGGGGATAAAAAGGAAAAAATAAAATCTTTTTTTTTTTTAAAAAAAGAACAGATAGCAGCCACAAGTAAAGAAAACATTGTATATATGCCAAAGAGGAGAAGATTTTACTTTTGTCCTGGAATATGGGTAAAGTGATTTTTAGAGGCAGCCTTGGATGATGGGGTGTATTTGGATCTGCACAGAAGGGGCTAGGGTGTTTCAGGCTGAGGGCCAGTCTGAGCAAAGGTGTGGAAATGAGAATGTGCAGGACATAGCTGGGAACTGCCAGTGGGTCGGGGTGGCTGCTGTGTGATGCTGGAAGTGAGAGACCAGGCTGGATCTAGAGAGCCTGGAATGCCATCCAGGGAGTCCAGACTTGATTGTATGGATGGTGGGGAACCTCAGGGGGTTTCGGGGGCAAAATAAGACTCTCTACATCAGTCAGTTTCCAAGGACAAAAGCGTGTCTTCTCTCAGTGTCTCTGGGACCTCACTCCTGCTCACTATCACCTCTCCGCCAGATCAGAGTACCAGCTGCCCCACTGTTCTGCAGTTTCACTCATCAGATCCACTTTCCAAAGGGAAAAGTCCCCATCACCTGTCTGACCACATCACACCTCTTGAAAACTTTCCACTGGCTCCTGCCATCTTTGGGATCACATCCAGACACTACAGCAATATGATGTTCTAGTAACCAGGATGGAGGGCAGACTGGAGAGGACTCTGTCATTCAAAATAGCTGATTAACTAAAGGAAAGATGATGCCTGGGGACAAAAAGCCCTGGGAGTGGCCCTGCTTCTGTTGAGACTCTTTCCTGAGTGGGAGGTGTCATGGCTCTTATAGTACATGGAGGGTTAAAATCAGACAACCCCCACCCCCTCCTCCTATGGTGGAGCCATTCAGCTGGCTCTGGTCCTGTCATCTCATTCTAAGAGGGCATTGAATTTCTCCATGTCTCAAAATGCCATTCTATGAGGGGGGTGGGTTTCAGCGCTAAGAAGCCAGAGGCGTGAGCACAGGGGCTGCCCAGTGGTCAGAGGGCTTCAGAGACTCCCAAGAGAACCCTACAGTTGGCAGAGAGGGTGGAGGCAGCCAGGCAGAGGAGTAAGTGAAGATCAGTTTAGTACCATTGCCAGGCAAGTGATCATGAGGATGACCGTTGTTGTGGACTGAATGTTTGTGTTCCCTCCCCCGATTCATATGTTAAAACTTTAATCCCAATGTGATGCCTTTGGAGGTGGGGCCTTTGGGAGGTAATCAGGTCATGCGGTGGAGCCCTCATGAATGGAACTAGTGCCCTTATAAGAAGAGATGTGAGAGCTCGCTAGCTTTACCTCATGTGAGGTTACAAGAGGGTAGTCGTCTGCAACCTGGGAGAGGGCTCTCACCAGAGTCCGACCATGCTGGCACCAGGATCCTGGATTTCCAGCCTCCAGAACTGTGAGAAAGAGATTTCTGTTGTTGATAAGTCACCCAGTCTATGGCACTTTGTTATAGCAGCCCAAGCTGACTGAGATGGTGGTGGTGATCATTCAGTAGCGATGTATGTCTGCTGTGCGAGCCACTGTTCCTCACGCTTACATTCACTGCCACATTTAATTTCCTCAACAATCCTGTGAGATAGGTGCTGACATCTCCACTTTATAAATGAAGGGGTGGAGGCCCAGAGAAGTCAAGGACCTGCCCAAGTCACACTGCTGGGGTGTGGTGGAGCTGGGATCCAGAGCCCAGGGGTTAACGTTGAACTTGGAGGTTTAGACACGTGGGATGTCTGATGCCAGAGCCCACACCATCCCTCCACTACCCGACACTCTGAGCTAAGAAGTGAAGACCCAGTCAGACACCAGGTCGACCGGAAGGCACACAACCAGCTGTCGCCAGCCCTCGGTCACCTCTCCGCCTTGGGCCTTGGGTTCAGCACCACAAACAGCTCCTCTTAGCCCGGGAGTAATCCAGGCTGCCTCAGCCTCCTTAGCTTGCCGCGCTGTTGAGAGTGGTATTTTCACATTATTTTAGGCTGCCTGAGCTAGAAGAAGCCTCTGATCCAACCCCTCCCCTGTGTAAAGGAGGAAACTGAGGCTTCAGGGAAAATTAGGCAAGCTGCACTGTTCTAGGCACCAGAAATACGGCAGTAAACAAAAGTGTTACAGATCTTGCCTTCAAGGAGCTAACATTCTAGTGGGACCCCAGGATTCCGCCAGGTCTATAGTGCCCCTGCCTCCAGAGCAGAGCTGGGAGACTGGCCGCCGAGTCTTCCAGACACTGCCTCTTCTAAGGAACTCTTTCTGACTGACCACTCTAGCCTCTCTTTTTCTCTCTCTTCCCCTACTGAACATGGGCAGGGCCTGAAGGATAAACAGTTCAAGTGACTGTGTTGTTTTTTCTTGTTGAGAGCTGCCAGTAATTCCTGGTTTCAGGTTGGAGGTTTGTGGTTCCACCCAGAGAACAGGGCACATGTCTTTCTCTCCTCCTCCCCCTCATAGCACCAGCACAGGGTTAGCACAGGGCACAAACCCTCAAGGACTTTTCTTATGATGATGGACACTGCAACCTCTCCATGGCATATTTCCCAGGGTGTTCTGGTTCTTAAATGCATCATTCATTCATTCAAGGAAAGAGAAGATCATTCAAGATCAAGAGAAGACTACCGGAAAAGACTCGAGAGTCATTCACTAAGAGGAGAGAGTTCCAGCAGGGGAATGGACGAGATCCTCCAGGGAGAAGAGGGGAGGCAAATGTGAGGAAGAGACTTGAGGACACGAGAACCCTGGAGGAACCAACATCTGGGAAGTGGACAGGAATGAGGGAGAGAGCAGAAGCCATCAGAGGGGCGGGAAGAAACTCTGAGAAGTGCATCTTGGAAGCCAGGAGGAAAAGCAGGTTTCCGATGGTGGCATGTACCAGAAAGAGGGCAGGCCTGCAGAGAAGCACGGGGCATGCAAAGTAGGACTCTGGTGGCCATGGGAGAACAGGTCACGGGAGTCTTGGGAGCGGAAGTCAGATCTCCATGGCTTGAGGAAGTGGAGACAATGCGTGCCACACACTCTACAGAAATTTGCTTGATAAAGGAGAGGAAACTGTGGCCTGGGAGCCAGAGGGGAAAGCAGAGTTGAGGAAGGACAGGAATTAGATGAAGAGGAAGGAGCCTGGGAGAGTGAAGAATGGCAGGCTTGAGCTGGAGTGGGTGGTTCTCGCTGGAAGGGCCCGGAGAAGGGGCAGGTAGAGTCCAGAGGATGGAAGAGGAAAGGGCGGCTGATTTTCCAGAGGAGCTCTGGGGAGGTTTGGTCAGACAGCCAGGACCTCCTGGGTTTGGAGGTGGTGCCGGCAGCAGCGGGAGGATCTGGTTGTCGGAGGTTTGAGAAGGAATAGAGGGGCTGGCCCTGCTCTTGGGGGAACCAGCTGGGCATCACTGAGGGGGAAGGTGCAGGAGTTGCTGAGGAATGCTGTGAGTTCTGGAAGGCTGCAGAGAAGGAGGTGATGGTGGCATCAGCTCTTCCCACCAAGGGGGAGGAGAGAGCAGGCCAGCTGAGCCTGGCTCCCCCAGATCACCCATGAGGCCTCCACACAGCTGGGGCTGCCCTGACTCTGCTTTTGCTCCAACCAGAGCCAGAGGGGAGGTTTAAGTGGGGTAGGGTGGGACTCCCCTACCCTTGGAGCCCCCAGCAGTCCAGAAGGTCTTCGGAAAATGCTTCCCTGCTGCCCATCGAGGGCCGTCTGCTCCTGCGATGCTGTTTGCCTTAAGACAAGAGCAACAGGAAATCTCTCCAAAGGCGCTGTCTTCATTTTATTTTTGTGTGAGTAAAGGTGACAGGGATTTAGGGCCTCAGCAAGATGCCCGCTCCCCAGACTAGTCCTACTCCAGAGGAAATGACCCGCAATCACCGTAACCTCTCACCCAGCCTCAGTTTCACTTCCAGCTGGAGAAACACGGGATGCCAGAACTGGGCAGGGAAACAGGCTTAGCAAGGGAAAGGCCCATCTGAGTGGATTCGACAAGGCTCCCTGAGCGCATACTGCCTGCCATCCAGCCAGGCCCGGACGCTCGCACCGACAGGCTGCCCCGCCCTCCCACAGCAGCCTGCTCCACTGTGTGTGGTTTTCAGCAGTTCCCAGTTCTCCTCACTCTGAGACCAAGTCCGTCTCCAGATGACTTCCCTGTCTGATCCAAAGCCCACCGGGGGGCCACAGCACATGTGCGCTTCCTGTCCGAGGACAGGGCCCAGATGGGACCCTCACAGAGCCTTGCCATCTTTGCCTGACAAGCCTTTGGCCAAGTTACCAATGGCATTTGGTGTGTTGGCTCTTCCTTTCCAGAGTATGTGCTTCCTCTGGAGCCCATTTTACAGGTGGTAATGATTGGGGCAGAGGGACTAGCCTGGGGTCATACTGTCAGCCTGTGACAATGCTGGGGTCAGAACAATTCTGAGTTTCCTGGTTTTCACCTCAGGATTCCCTGAGCTGAGATCTGGGCTGCCTCCCCTGCTGCTGGACCATAGATAGAACATGGGGTGGCAGGGAGTTGGGGTCCTTCAGTGATGCCCGGGCGCCCAGTGGCCCCTGCCTTGTGCCTGAGCCAGGCCAGAGCTTCTGTGGACAGGGCCCATGCCCTCTCCTCCTCCTCCTCTTCCTTGTGCCCTCCAGCCCGCAGAGGGAGCACTTGAAAAGGCCCCTCTGGCACTCTGCTGCTGCTTGAGCCTGCACCCTCTCCCTCCCCTGCCCCTACAAAGGTGAGCACTCACATGTGGCCCCCAGGCCGGTCCTCCCTGGTGAGCATTCCTTCCTTCTCCATCAGCATCTGCCGGAAAGTCCTGACCTTCTGCCGGGTCTCCTCCTCTGAGTACCTGTGGGGGCACAGGGAAGGTGAGGGCTGCTCTCTTGCCTGTGGTTCCCTCTCTGCCTGTCGCCCTCCCGAGGGCACTTTCCAGCTTGCAATGACCTGTCCACAGTTACACCACCGAGCAAGGCTCTCAGCACTGGGGATGCTCAAGACCTACCCATTTTGCACCAAACCAGCCAACCAACCAACTACACAAACAAATGAACAACCAGTCAAACAAACAAATAACCTTTTTCTTTTTAGGAAGAGTACCCAGAGGTGGGGAAACCTACGAGGGGAGGCTGTGCCCTTCCTCCTGGCCCTCCTCCACCCTCAGGCCGGCCTCTCTCCCGCATCCAGGCTGCAGTCACTCTCTGGAGACATTTTAGGGCAGAAGTGAGAATCTTCTGCCCTCCTGGCCTCAGGCACATCTGATCCCCAATAGCCTTGGGACGTCCTCAGAGTATCCCCACCTCTGCAAGGTCAAGGCTGCCCAGTGGTTGCCCAGGATCATACATAGATCCATTGCCTCCTGGTTTGTGTGTGTGTGGGGGTGGGGTGGGTGGATGAAGTCTGGGCCTTGACTGGAAGCTCCTGATTTCTCTCCTCCCCTCTCCTTCCCTCCCTGAGCCTGGTCTGGCTCCTCATCCTTGCTCCCACACCCTGGGGTCAATTGTCCTTCTCTCTCACTGCACGACTGTGACAGCTGCTGCCCAGGCCTCCCACCTCCTCTGGCGTTTCCCCTCCAGCCTGTGTCCATGCTGCCACCCTGGGTGGGGGGCGGTGTGGGGGGAGGTCTATGCTTGTCCAGCCCCTTGTCCTGTGCCTGGCATGCAGCAGGTGTCCAGTGTCTGACACCGAATGGATCTTAGGCTCCTAGACCCCCTCTTTCCCCTTCCTGGGCTGCAGGTCGGTCATTCTCCTCTACAGAACACATGGTGGCAAAATGGGAACGGGGGTCCCATCATGTCTCTGTCATCCGCTCACCATCCACTCTCTGTCCACACAGCAGCCCAGCCCTCCCCACTCAGCCTGTCCATGAAAATGGTATGTTGTTCCCTCTCAGGGGCCCCATCTCTTGTCTGCCTCCTTTGCGCCTCCCTCATTCCCTCCCCTCCTTCAGCAAGCACTTGCGGATTGACTCAGCCTTTTTGGAGAGCAATTTGGCAATTCTTTTCAAAAGCCTTAAAAAAATCAACACATCCTTTGACTCAGAAATTAACTTCCAGGTTTACCCAGTGGAAATAATCATGGCTGAGCACAAAGATATGACTCACTGCATGTTTACAGCAGGACGGATGCCCCTGACCAGGTGAGGTGCGAACGTGTGTGTTTCCATAGCAACCTGTCCCTCCTGGATCCTGGCAGGTGGTTCATGTGCTAGTCAGTATCTGTTGGCTCCTGTGTATCCTGCGCTGGCCTGGGAGTTCCCTGACGGCAGGGACCTTATCTGTCTGGATGGCCATTGTGTCCCCAGCATCTGGCACCTTGCCTGCCACATGTGGCATCCAACATTTTTTGACAAATAAGTGACTGGTGATGGAGGGGCAATGAAGAGTTTGAAGGTTGGATTTTCATTTTGGAAAGGTGGGTCTGGTGGCCGCGTGGCTGGAGGAGAGGGACCTGGAGGCAGAGAGGCTGGCATTGGGCTACTGCAGGGGTTCCCGCAGAGATGGTGAAGTCAGAACTAGGACTGGTTGAATATTTCATGGGGTTAGATGAGGAGCACTCCCTGCTCCTTAACCAGGTGTCTCCTGACCCCCCGCTAAGGTCTGTCCCTTTGCAGGTTCAGGCACCGTGTGGCCCACCATAGGGAGGATTGAAACTTGCCCGGCAGGGGGAGGGGCTCGTCTCTTCCAACCCCCCACCCTCACCACAGGGGTGGGTATGTGTGTGGCTCAGGCCATGCTGTGCTGACACCTCTAACCCAGTGTCACCAAGCTCTGTGTCTTGGCTCATAAGTGTCCGCCTCAGGCCCTATTTAGCCTCAGGCTCAGGCATTTGGCCAGAGGTCCCTTGATCTTGCTTGTTAGGCAGTGCAGAGCCCTCGGTCAGCTGGGCTGGCCTGGTGCCCAGGAAGAAGGGGTGATGGCCCCTTTCTGAGCAGTGGAGGCACAGAGGAACTGCTCTCATCTTACCTTCTCCCCAGGAGACCAGCTTGTTATTGACATCAGCACAAACAGCACAGGCCCTTCAAGACTGCCCAGCCCCTGACTCCTAGACCCCTGGGAGGGAGACATAGGCTGGCTGGGCCATTGGCATGGGGCCCTGGGCCTGGTGGGGTTGGGGAGGAGATGGCCCAAGACCAAGACTGGGCCAGATCTCCAGATGGGTGGAAGGGCTTCAGGCCAGGCTCCAAGCCCCCATGCCTGGAGTCTTATGGAGCATGAGAGGCTGGGAGGGGAGAGTCAAGCTCAGTTTCATGAAGACCTGGAGCAGGACATGTGCAGGAACTTATGTCTCATCCCAGAGCCGGCAGCTCTAAGGCAAGTTGACTAACTCCAGCATCTGCCATTGGGGGCTGGAGATGCTGGGGTGTACGGACACAGAGGCTTGGGGAGGACCCCTCTATGCCCCAGGGCATCTTGCTGGGAGAAAATTGGGACCTAGGGATGACATCTGGTTATTGGGCATAGCAGTCTCAAGTGCGACCACCACCTCTGAGTCTCCCCTCCCCTCATATCTCTTGAGGTCAAGCCTCAGCTGAGGTCACATGGGACAGTGATTGTGGGGAGAGGCAGCAGAGCCCAGCAGTTCTGTGTTTGAATCCTGGCACCCCCACATTCCAGCTCTGTGACCTTGGACGAGTCCATACACTTCTCTCAGCCTTAGCCTCTACATCTGTGAAATGGGCTAGTAACCTGCCTTGCACGGTTGTCATAAGGGTTAAGGGAGATGATGCATATAAAGCACTTTGCACATGCCTGGCATACAGTAGGTGCTCAATAAATGGTATTGATGGAGGATTACTTGTCCCAGAGCAGTGGGGACAGAGGATCTAGGCATCCCAGGCTCCCTGCCTTTTTCCACCCCAGATCCCCGCCAGGTGAACATGGTCCCAGGCCGAGAGTCACCTGCGTCCCTTCTCTCTGCTTTCCCAGGAGGCGAAGTCTGAGACAGAGACGGAGGCTGTAGTGATGGAGGCGGCAGTGCCTGCCAGCTGAAGACCAGGGAGGAGCCTGGCTGGCCAAAAGTCAAGGCCTTGGACGGGAGAGGGGGATAGGGAGGGCAGTGATGTCTGTCTCCGGGCCCCAGACTCCTGGCTCAGATGCTCACCCAGCCAGTCTGGCTCCCTCCTCCCCACTCCGCTCTGTGGGAAGGACGTGCCAAATTCCTTGTTGCTTTGCAGACTTCCTGGCTTGCCCTCTGGGGCTGGGGTAGGGGGAGGCTGCATTTTAAAAGAGGTCCCCAGAGTGGAAAATGTTTAATTCTGCCTGTCTTTGCCCGGACCCAGCACTTCCTAGCTAATTGCTTCCTTGGTTGTTAATTTGAACTTCACTGCAGCTCTGAGGGGGGCGGGGTGGCCTTCCTCTTCCTATTTATTTTACAGGTGAGGAGACGGAGCAGGGAGAGGCTCAGAGCTGCAAGCCCAGCCGTCCCAGAGCCGGGGTGGGAGCTGTCCGGCATCGCGCCCGGCCGGCTGGGGCCTCCGTCCCTGCCCCCATCGTGATTGCCGGCTACACGCAGAGGCTGCCCGGGAAGGTGACTCCAAATGCAGCATCAATCAGCAGTGAATTAGCCTGCCATCCATCAATATTAAGGGAGGGATTGCTTTTTAATGGGGTCAAAGAATGTGTGTTCCTGTGACTAGTGGGAATATTTGTCAAATGCCTCAGAACCTGGTAAATAAATGTGAATGAACCAGTGTTTCTAGAAATGGATATTAATGACTGGATTTTAGAATAGGGCAAGGGTCCCTTGTGTTTGTGGAGCACTTTCTGGGGACTGGCTGGGGGCGGGGGAGCCCTGTATGTGCCTTAGTCCACAGGACTCAGAACAACTCTCTACTTTATAGGCGAGTAACTGTGGCTTGCCCAAGGTCCCAGGCCAGGGCTGGAAGCCTGGATTGTTGGGTTTCAGAGTGGCTGTGCCTCCACTGATCAGTCTGCTGCTAAGGGGTAGGGAGGGGAGGGGGATGGTAATTTGTGGGGATTCCAGCCTGAGGACCACCTCCAGCCAGGGCTTGGCTGGGGAAGGGGCCCTGAGTGAACATCTGGAGACCTAGTGGGGCCTTCCCAGAGGCATGGGTCCTTGACGCCGGGGGACTGACACCAAGGACATGGCCATATGCCGTCTCCCTCTGCTTGTGGCTGCCCTCATCTGATAATGATCCCCCTGGGAGCAGTGAGGGGCTTCTGGAAGAGGAGGAGATTCAGCCAGGGGGAGGAGGCTTGAGGAGGGAGGGAGGTGCCGTGAGGGAGGGGCCTTAGAGCTTCCCAGAAACCATGGGGCTCTGCGAGGGGGAGGGCTTTCAGAAGGAAGGTTCCTGTGAGGAGGAGAGGGCTCAGTGAGGGGAAGGGGGCTCAGGAAGGGGTGGGGCTCCATCAGGGGAAGGGGGCAGTTTCTGAGAACAAAGCACAGAAGGCTGGCCCTCTTCTGTCCCAGTTATCCCTCCTGTCCCCCAACCACGCCCACCTGCCCACACTCCCTTCACTCCTGGAGTCGCCCAACTCAGCAGGATTTGCAGGTATCATTACGGTCTGGGGTTCTCTCTGCAGGAGGACACTCCCTCTCAGCCCCTACTCAACTCTGCCCCTGGGGATCTCATTTCCTCTGCCCACTTCCACAGCTCATCAAACCTGTTCTCACCACCAGCTGGAGGCCTCCTTTCATCTATCTTCAGCAGCCTTCCATCCATCCATCCTTCTCTGCAGGGACCTCCCCACCCCTACCTGGTCCCCAGCTGGAGGTGAACACCAAGTCCCTGTGCCTTAGTCTTTTTCTTACAAGTGGCCCTGCCTGGCAACCCGTTGGGGGCCCTGGATCCAGGCCTAGCCTTGGCCCTGCCTTCCTGATGGCCTTCAGCAGGTGACTGTCTCTGTCGCGGCCTCAGTGTCTTCCCAGGCTCCACAGGGACTGTGAGCCATGTCTTGGCTGCTTCCTGGGAAGCCCAGGAGGCCTGGAGGGACTGACAAAGGTGCAGCTTGGAAGGACCGCTGTGCACAGGCTGTCTGCCATGATGCGGCTCCGGGCCCCACTGCTCTGGGCATTTCTGATTTCTCAGCTCACTGACAGGGCCAGTCTGATGAGCCAGACCTGCTCCCCACTTTGACTCTCTTAACAGCCAGCCCGCTGGTTTCAGAGTACTCAGGGTAGATGCAAGAAGGAGCCTTGGGACCACCAGCTTTCCTTGGAGCTGCACAAATGGGAAGCCTTTGTTCTTCGTTTCTTTGCCTCTAGCTCTATGTGTGAGAGCTGTCCTGTCTCCTCTGGACTTTCAGGGGAGGTCCCTAAATCCTTACTGACTGAGCAAGACACAACCTGTCCTTCTCAGCCTGATGAACTCCTACTCACCCTTCAAAGCCCACTCAAATGTCTTCTCTCAGAATCTCTCCTCTGAGCTCCTGAAGCACTTGGCCCTCCCCTGTTCTGTCCTACAACCACGATTCTGATCTGTCTTATGGCGGAGTTGGTCCTTAACATACTCGTTTTCCTTCTGAGATGGGGAGGGAGCAGGGGAGCGGGGGCCGTCTTTGAGGAAGTGACTCCAGTCCGGCTCTGGGGCCCAGAATTGCCCAGCACAGTGTCTGGCACACTTGTGTGCCTCTCTGGCTGGTTCTGAACTAGACAGAGTGAACCTAAGCTCGTGGGTGTGGCTGCCGGCTGGGAGTTCTCTGCTGAAACCACACGCGGCCCTCCCACAGAGCAAGGAGCCACTGTGCTTTCCTGCCTGGCTGCGGCACCTGCTTGGCAGAGACCCGGCAGCCTGAGCCTCTCATTTTATAGAAGGGGAAACTGAGGCCTTGCGCTGTCATTGATGTTGACATGCCTCTCTCCCCAAGAGGACAAGATGTTTCTGGAAGGCATGGACTGTGTCTCCTTGGTTTCTGTGAATCTGAGCCCAGTTCAGAGTTTGACAAAGAGCCGACGTTCAAGACAGCTTTTTGGTTGAATAAACAAAGTTCAGCGGGGCTTGCCATGGTTCTACCCCGCTGGTTCAGACTCTGGCCCTTTGCCTGACTGGCTCCCGGGTCCCAGCGCGCCCGGCCCCGCCCCCGCCGGCCAACCCCGCTTGGCTCACCCCTGCTCCTCCATCATCTCCTGCAGCTCCATGCACTTGAGCTCTACGCGCCGCTTGCGCTCGTGGTCCAGGATCTCGCGGTGCGCACGCTTCACCAGGCCCGGCTCCGCGGCGCGCAGCTCCTCCTCGGCCCGCGGCCAGGTCCCGGAGGAGGCGCCGGGCTGCGGGAAGCCGTTGGCAGCGTCGGGCGGCGACGGCATGCTGGCCGCCCCGTTGTTCACGCTGGAGGACATGGCGGCTGGCCCCGGAGCCGCTGGCCTCGGCCCTGTGGGACAGACATGGACACCAGGCGGGATGGTCACTTCTCGGTCACCTGCTAAGCTCCTCTCTGCGCGGGTTAATCCTGGAGCTTTAAAGGCCCACTCACGGCTCTAATCCGCTTCCTCTCCTGCTGCAGAGGGGCTGCCGGCCCATTCGCACCTTTGGGTCACACCTCAGGGCACGAGCGGGAATTGGACCCTGGGCTTTCCCCATCTGTAAGGTGGGTGGGTGCAGGCTGGACTTGATGGCCCCTGAGGGCGCTTAGCTTCATCTCCAGGGACCTGGTAACCCGCTAGGGCAGCCCTCTCTGCCTGTACCAATTCCCGGGCCTGAGCGCCCAGCCCCTGCTACACAGCTGCTTGCAACTACGGGGCAACCAGATGGGTCTCTGGGACAATTTTTAGTTTTATTTTTCTTTTTCCTACAGGCTCAGTTTAAATGCCTTCTTCCCCCAAACACCCGTCGTCCTGACTCTGGCCTGTGGGGTCACAGACTCCACATGCTCCTGCCTCTGTGTCTGCTCCCAGGGCAGCCCCCAGAAATGAGAAGATGGAGCCTTCTCTGGGCTCCCGTCCATTCCCACCACGGATGCAGTTTTTGGTTTCCACTTTGATCTGTCCAACTTCTCCAAAGCCAACATTCCAGGGGGGGCCTGATTCAGACGGAAGCCCACCAGTCTGTCCCCTCCTTTGTTCTGAAACACGGCTTCTGAGGATGTGACCAAAAGTGGCACTGACATTAGCTTTCCAGACAGCCACATCCTCCTGCAGGCTCAGGGTGATGTGGGTGTCAGCACAACCTGGGAGGTAAGAAGCCTTGGCTCCACGCTAGACCCAAATTAGAGCATGGGCTCGCACACGTGTGCACACACACACATACACACCAAGGAACTATCTTAACAGAAGGGAGGCACCTCCTGAGCTATTTCCATTTCCTTTCTCCAAGGCTCTGCCAGTTGCTAAGCAACAGAGAGGCCTCCTTCCCAGGGAGTGGGATTGGAGGGAGGGAAGGGGTGGAGGGAGGTGGGAAGAGAAGAAGGGATGGGCATGTCTGGGCATCCCGGATGGGGCCTTCCCTGCAACGCAGCCCCCCAACAACACTCCCCTCACTCAACACACACTGGCTCAGAGTGATGGGGTGGAGGATGGTCAGAGCCACCAAGACTGGAAGGCAGAGAAGAGAGAGGGGGACCACGAGAGGCACAGGAGGCTCTGAAGGGTACAGAGTGAGAGGCAGTGACAGTGGTGATGAGAACATAAGCTCCTTTCATATGTCCATCCCCCTAAAGCCCAAGTCCCTGGGTTCTAGGCCAGGCTCCTCCACTCTTTGCTGTGTGACCCTGAGGACATCAATGACCCTCCCTGAGCCTCTGATCCCTACCTGTGTCTGGCAGCATCTTCCAGACTCTTCAGGAGAGGAGGGTTTTGGGGGGTTTACAGACCAAAGCTGTCCTAACCTCTCTTTCCACCCGTGAACTCTGCTGGCTTCCCGCCTCTGTCCTAGCCTAGCCCTGCACCTCAGCTCTGGCAGGGCTTCTCCTGGGGTGCCCCACAAGCATCACCCACTCACCAGGCCTCACACAGAGTCTGGGAGCCCTGCTGCCCACCTGCCTTGACCACGGTGCTTGGCTCAGGGGTGGCCCTTCCGGCTGTTGGTTACCTGAGCCCAGGACATGTGTGGAGCTTTAGATGCCTGTTGCCCTGGCCCACTGCAGCTTATCTGTCACCAAGTTTGGCCCCTCATCCCGTCTTCTCAACATCACTCACATTTATCGGCTTGCTCTCCTCCAGTCACTACCTCAATCCAAGCCCCTCACTCTGGTCTATTGCCTCAGCATCCTGCTGGCCCTCCTGCCCTCTCCGTCCTGCTCCATCAGTAACCTGGGAGATGGATCCAGGAGCAAATCAGACTGTGTCATGCCCTGATTAATAGCCTCTAGTGGCTTCCATCACCTTGGCTTAAAGTCTTGACGTGGTGTGCCTTCTGGTCTAGCCGTACCCCTCCCCACCCCTGACTCCTACACAGATTCTCCATCTCTCTTGCTTCCAGGATTTTCCAATTGCTGCTCTCTTCCCCTGGGACACTCTTCTCCTGCCTCCTATGTGTCCTCAAAGTCACTGCTCGTAGGCATCACCACCTTCTGGAAGACCTCCCTTGGCCCTCTGGCTGGTGCCACCCTCCCAGGGCTCTCACCACTCACTGTGGTCACTGAGGGCTCACAGGTCTGGTTCCCTCTGGGCTAGGGGCAGTTTAGCTTTCAACTCCAAGTGCCAGCAAAGTGCCTGGGCAGGTAGGGCTCAATGCATAGGAAGTGAGCAAGAGAAGACTATTACAATGGGAGGTAGGATAGAGCACTGCCTGGCACAGTCGTTAATACAGCCTGCAAGACCCCTTTGTATTTTGCCCTAGGCTGTCTTGCAGCTTCATCCCTTGCTACATCTCATTCTTCAACCAACATCCAGCCTCTCAGCCTTGGTCATCTGTACCCAGACACTTCTCACTCCTTTGTGCCTTTGCCCATGAGATGCTCCTATGCTGGAACTCTGTTTTCCCTCCTCTCCACCTAGAGGTTTCAGCCCAAATATCACCTCTTCTGGGAAGCTGGGCATGCCTCTGAGGAAGGATGAGTCATTCCCTCCTTGTGCTCCCACAGCTTTTGTCCTCACCTCTTTAGATACTGAGGTTCAACTTGTTGCTTGCATCTTACCCCTGTTTTGGACCATGAACTCTTGGAGGAGAGGAGGGTCCCTTCATTCTGGCTCCCCAGAGCCTACCCAGCACCTGGCAATGCAGGAGGCATGCTGACAGTGTGGGGAGAAGGTGCTCAGGCCCCAGCAAGGGCCCATGGGGCCAGGACTTGAGTGATGCTGCTCTGCATGCTACCCCTCTGACACCAGCAAGGCTCCCAGCCTAGAACTTGGCCTGAGGTCCTTGAGGGCAAGGGAGGGGAAGCTGGTGGGAGCAGTTCTGAGCGCACTCAGATCTCCAGACCCTGAGAAATTCTATCCCCAGCACTCGGAGAATGCCTGGGTAAGATTGCTAGGCTGCTGAGGACCATCCTTCAGGATTGACTGAGGAGGAAGGGAGGGAGTGAGAGGGCGCAGGGGACAGATGCAGTATGGATTCACTGGGACAGCTGGTGGGATCTACCAGCTTCACCTAGTGACTTGGACAGCACCAGGCAGGAACCTGAGGCAGATTATTAAAAAGATGACCCCTGAACCCCTAGAGGAGGGGCCGGGCTCCTAAGAACGAGTCATTGCACACCATTCCCACTTCTGTCCAAGTTGGGGTGGCTGGGCCAGCAGACTGGGGAGTTACTGCGGGCACAGGGCCTCCCTGCAAGGCATCCGACGTTGTCTTTTACAGAATCCTTGTGAGATTTCAGAGGGAGAGAGAGACACTGTGCTGGGGAACTAGTTCTGCATGGTTGTGATTAGTGGATAGGTTGGCCTATGCTGGAAGGGAGCTGATTAATGGGTCAATGTCACATTAGATGGAGGTGTTGAGTGGAGGACCATAGGGCACTCTCCTCACCCATGTCTGATCCAACATGTTCACCTTGACCGATGGAACGTTGATCACCTGATGACCAGATTCACTGAGGATGGCACCTTGGAAGGCTCATAAATAGAGTCAGAATCTAAAAGGGCTGAATTGACTGGAAAGATGGAATCTAAGAAGGTGAAACAGGATGGTGAGAAATGTCTCATTCTGAAGCTGAGTCCCAAACTAACTTTCTAAAATTGGAAGGGATAGACGTAGTTTAGAAGCAGAATATTTAGGAAGGACTTAGGAGTTTTCAATGGTCACAGACTCAATTGGAGTCAGTATCATAATGTGGCTGCCAAAAGTGCATGTTATCTTAGGCTCCATCAACAAAAATACAATATCTAGAATGGGGAGATGATAAGAATATACAGACATTCAGAATCCCTATCTTCAAATACTTGAAGGATTGTCGAGGATTTAGGCCAAACCTAGCTGAATCTGCTAGGAAGCTTGTTAGAAGTAGGTAGCGTTGCCAGATTTGGCAAATAAAAATACAGGATGCATAGTTAAATTAAATTTGAATTTCATGAATTTCGTATTTAGGACATCCTTATACTAAAAAAAATTCATTGTTTATCTGAAATTCAAATTTAACTGGGTGTCTTATATTTTCTATGTCAATCCTACCTGAGACCCACCCCAGACCTACTGAATCCAAGATCTCTGGGGGTGAAATTGTTATTATTCCCCGAGTGATCCTGATACAGACTATCCATGGACAAGCAATTGGGAGCTGGTGTCTAGAGCAGCGGTTCTCCAGTTTTATTAGGCATCAGTGTCATCTGGAGGGCTTGTTAAAACACAGATGACTCGGCTCAACCCCCAGAGTTTCTGATTCAGTAGATCTGGGGTGGCGTCTGAGAATTTGCATTTCTAAGAAGTTCCCAAGTGACCCCGATGCTGCTGGTCCTTGGACCACACTGAGAGGAGCAAGGACCTAGCCAATCTGAGTGGTTCCAGAAGAAAGCCAGGACCTCTGCAGGGAAGTCGTCTAGAGTGGACTTCAGTGAAGCCCAAGAAAGGATTTTTCCCCCAGCAATCAAAACTTAAAAAAAACCCAAACACTTCAGTTCATCCCAGAAGGCGGGAATTCCCCATTATAAGAACTGTTCCAACAGGAGAGAGACACTATATTCACTCAACAAACACCCAGCATCTATTCTGGGCTCCACCCTATGAAAGGCTGGGGATTTGGAGATGGAGAAGACCCCGTTTGGCCCTCTAGGAGCTCACACGCTGGTCTGGGAGACCAAAAGGTATCAGAGTGTAGTGTGAGAAAAGAGAATCTGAGAAAGGTCTGCAGCTCTGCCTGGTCGATCGGGGCAGGTTCCCCAGAAGGGGTGGGAAGGGGCCAGAGATGGGGACACCAGAGCAGGTGATGCCTGGACCACGATTCAAGAAATAAATGGACAGGCTTGGCAGGACTGTGACTGACTGGTTGTGGGGGTGGCA